GTGTTCGGAGTTTTGTCACCAGACCAAGACATTGACCCTGGTGATTCTTGAAGAATTTAACGATAACGTCCTAGTTTTAACTATATACAATGTATCGTGGTGAAAATAATTTCAGTATTTAGTATTTTAAAACTTAATAGCTATAAATAATGCCGATTTTGGGAACTTTGAGCGAAAGTTACATTTGAAAACTTCTCCCAAACATGTTCTTATTGTTTCAATCATTTCTCAAGAGAAGAAATCCCCAATTCAACAATTATTTTACCTTTAAGTTATTGATATGTATTTGTACATATATAATAAATGATAATTCTATCCTATTATAAACAATGTTTGATAATTTAAGCTTCAATCAACAAGTTTGTTTAAGGTTTAATAATCAAAAAATATAGACAAGAAATCCAAATGGAAATAAAATACCACTTAAACAAGAAATTCAACTACAATACTTCTATTTTTCGTGTAATTTAAATATCAAAATTTTATCAATCTTTGTTTTTATCATATTCAATTTAAAACTTACAGAAATATCTTGTATAAAAGTATATTTTTTCATTCTTTGAACATTATTCTTATAAATATTGCGATGTAACAGTACAAGGCCATTTTAAGAGGGGACGAGACGTGACAAATGAGTTCATTTAATATATGATACACTTGAACATAATAAATAAGGCACATTAACTTACACTTATCATACATTAATAAACATATGAGATATATTCTGTTTTTTCTTGTTATTTTGGTTGAAGTTTATCCCTACTAATATTATAAATGCGAAAGTAACTGTCTGTCTGTCTGTTACGCTTTCAAGCCTAAACCACTGATCTGATTTTAATGAAATTTGGTACAGAAATAGAGTTGACCTTGAGAAAGAAGATAGGATAGTTTTTATTCCAGACTTTTGAGAGGTTCTCTTGGAAACGCGATATAACAGAACTCCACGCGGGCGAAGCAGCGGGCGGAAAGCTAGTTTGTTATAAATATCAGCTTCTCAGATCATAAGATCCTTTCAAGAATTAGTTTCAGACCTAACTTTTTCTTCTAAAGTCATATCTTGTTCGAAACTTACAACATTATTGCTTTTCAAACTCATTACATACTTCTTTAATATATGATTTAATAGTATGGTCACTAATTATAACAAACACATACTAATATATTTTGTGTGAGGTAATAAACTTAGTTGTTTTAAATATATTTTTGTTAAGCAGCTTTGTAACAATTAACTGCAAGTAGAATATCATCAAATAAAACTGGAAGGAACTTAACAGAAATCTGTACAACGGCATATTTAAACATTAGTTACTAAATAGTATTTTACCTCAAATGATTCTTCATCTTATACAGAAATCCTCAGTAAGAAAAAATTACAAAAATAGAATTTTAACTTCATCTAAATGGACTAACCAATACTTCAATAGTTAAAAGTTTTATATTGTTTTAACGAATTTTAAATGTCCAGCACTCAGCTAGAACCGACCATATAAGACACATATACGTATAACTTTACATGATTTAATGCTTTTTATAGTTATTTCCCAGTAATTTTAAGGATATCTAACATTCAGTTCACAATCAACGTCTCAAGAATCGGGAAACACACTCATTCAATATTAGATACGCAAGTAGGCCGTCTGCATCCAAAAATATCTGAACACGTGCTTCCCATATATCAAACGTGGGCCTAACGTAGCTATTATGTGACAGATTCACTGCTGTATAACATTCTTTTGAGTTTTCATCAAAATGCGAAATGCTTCTTCATGTATAATACGAAAAAAATTGCGAATTTCGTCCCACAAGTGTAGGAGTCCATAATAAAATAAATATATGAAAGCCATCACATGCGTGGTGGAATCTGAACATATGCATGCATTTTTATAACTAGCCATTAGCGACATATATTATGGTTTGAATGACGTCGGTAGCTCCGGTGACGTAAGCGCCGAATCAGCTGTATCAGAAGTATTTTGAGACGAATCGAGTTTAGCCGAGCGTTATTAATAATAGAAATGAATTAATATGAACCATCAGAAAACTTTGGATGGTTCTAGAAACTTTAAATGCCTAGAAATAAGGTTTCTTGACTCCTTTTCTTTGTTTTTCATAGCTCTCTTATAGAAAAAGCATAGTTACTATGTTTGGTGAATCTAATTGATTGATTTAATTGAACTAGTAGCGTTTTTGAACTCAAATTCAAAAATTACTTCGCGTACTTTTCATTCAGATATCAATAAAACGTGGCTCGTACATTTAAATTAAACATTTATATTACATATGCTGTAATCACTATTTTAAAATTGGGACGTGAAACGAAGATAAATTTGAAAGAAAATATTTTATTCATTATTTGTAACAAGTCACATCACAATAAGGTAAATATAAAATAATATATTTGAACAAGGATGACCTATCCTTCACTAGTTTTGTCACAAAATGTGTGCTTGTATATTTCGTATAATTTTTGTTTCTTCCATTGTAGTTTATATGATGATCTTTACTTCTCGATGAGTTATGGACTTAGAAGACTAAAATATTGTCACAAGGACTGACGAAGTGTAGGAATGCCAAGACATCTGCAAAATTTGACCTATTTGGCCAAGTCGCAGAGTTTCATCACGGAATGTGTGAATTCAAGATTTCATATACATACTAAAATTTTCGGCGGTAATTATAATATTTATTATATACATAATTATATTTCATGAACCGCATATTAAAGGATAACTTCAAAATAAGTAAAAATTAAAGTCAGTGATGGCGTAATAGTTAATCGGACCGCTTCATGTGCACGAGGGCGCGGGTTCGATCCTGGCAAGTACTAATGTGATTTTTCCGAGTCATATGTACTTTCGAAGAGTTTAAGACTCCCCTGACCGACGGTGAAGGAAAACATCGTGAGGAAACCTGGACTTATAATTTCACAATTTCAAATTTTACTAGTTTGAAATCACCAACCCGTCTTGAGCAAGCGTGGTGATTAATTAATTAACCTTCTCCATGTGAGAAAGAGGCCTTTGCTTAGAAGTGGGCTCTGATAGGCTAATGATGATGACGACGATAGTGTAATTGAATATTCATTATTAATTTATTACCATAAACTGGGCGTTTTACTGGACTTTACAAAATTAAATTGTCTTTCTTATCATCCAGTTGCATTTTGACAAAATGCATATAAATTAGATACAGTAATAAGTATGTACTTATTAAGATTTCGTATTTGTGATATTAGTAAAAAAAAAATCATAGAATTTCATACATTTCAGGCTTTGTTAAAGCTATGTAATGAACACCAGTTTTTACATATACACGAGAGATTTAAAAACTCGTACGTTTTATTAGATAAATATTTACATTTTCATGAGAACCCATAATATTACGGGCTTTGAAAGAATAAACGTAAAAGTATTACAGTCACAGACTTAACAATGATTACTGTTAAAAGTAGTACACAGGTAAATATTTTTAAGTTTTGAAATATGGCCTCCAATCTATCACAAAAAAATATGGACAAATTAATAGTATACATATTTAAATAGAAACTAGTATGGTGCTATATAAATATATGTTCCATTGAATTAATGATTAAACTTCTATGAGTATTAAGAACGAATAAAATAACAACTGAAAATTAGAATTATTAACGAAATTTTACAAATTGATTGATAACTTACAAAAGCTTTTTCACATATTTCAATACAAGTCATAAATTTTTCATTTACTGTTGATGCTCAAGAAAAATGCTGAAGTCGATAGTGATGGTTGTATTTTTTTGTGTAAATTTCTTTACACAAATGACCGTTTAAATAAAAATAAAGTTAAAACCGTTTAATAATTATAATATTAAGTTTTGGAAAATGATATGTACACATATTTAATAAGATTTGTGATAGATGAGAACTGACTACTACATGATAATGTTTTTGGTATTAATATAATAAAAAATAACTTTACATAAAAATATACCACCTAGTTTCAAAAAATAATTTAAATTTAACTAGTATTTTGTTAGTAGCCTAATATATATATCTTTGGCCATTTCCTATAGACCTTACTATGTCAAATCTTAATTTGTGGTTCTTTAATAAATTTCCTAATTTTAATAACCTATTTAGCAAAAATATGCACTAATTTCAGTATAAATACACGTTTAAAAATACATTGCAAGTTCGGAAATGTCGGGAAGTGGTCAGATTTGGGGCAAGGTGGGTGATCTCACATCACTGTTACAACTTTACGTGCGGATAACATAGATTTATTTGTGTTGGAATATATTGTTGGTATGTTTTATTGGAAATTAACAGCTCAATTTATATGATAGAACCATTTTTGATTCCTCACTACTAAACTTCTTGAATGTAATATAGAAAACAACGATTGTTATAATTTTCATTGCCCTTTCCCACCTTTCCCCCCTCTCTCTCTCCTAATAAAGGGGGGCAACACATCCGCAATATTGTGAATGTCTATGGGCGACGTACGCCGTATGGTTGCCCCTTTTAGCTTAAAACAGAAAAAATTGAGTAGGTACATATTGCTGAGGAAATTTTTTTGAGATAATATTTACGTAGGAACAGTGCAAAAACGCTTGAAACATTTCAATTGCAATCACATGATTGACAAGCGCACTTCATGTTGTGTTCTAGGAATGGATTGACACAACGTCCACCGTCTGACGGCTTGACGACGCCTCTGAAATTATCAACTTGGCGGAGGACCAACTCTGTTAACGCGATTTGCTTTACACAAACTGCCCGTCTTTAAATACCTAAAAACCGCATTTAGTTTCGTGAAAAATAAAATTCTGTATATGATTTAAATACCGAAACTCTACTATTACTTCCCTAAAACGCTTTAATTCTGTGTACCTACTTCAATTAATCAAGTAATATGATGGTTACATGAATTAAAATGTATCTTCCTTCAATATAATAGGCGTTTTTAAACCGTAAATTACATTTGTATATAAGCAATGTCTGGCTTCATACCCCTGTATTTTATCTTTCCAAATTTCTGACAATAGTTCTTAGGACAACTTCTAAATTACATCAACAGTAACCCATACTGCCGAAAAGAAAACTGATGCTTACGGAAGTCTTTTTGAACAAAACTGTTTCTTTTTGGATTTTATTGACTTATTTAAAATAAATAAGCAAAACTAAAATAAAGACTTACCTTGTAATAGCTGAATAGTGGCTTGGTACTCTGCAAGCTTCTCATCCACGTATCCTTCTTGAGATTGATTTGCAATGATTTCTGCTGTCGATGGTCCTCTTTCCTCATCTTCCTCATAAATCATCGGTCGTGGTGGCGGAGGCGGTTCCAGCGGAACTCCTGCGTAATCATACTCTCGGACGGTCTCGTACGGCGAGGAGTAATAGTATTCTGGACTATGCCCCAGTGTTGGGGACATAGGGTAGGGCGAGATTGAAAAATGGGAGCTCGGTGATGCTGATGGCTGTCGTAAGTGAGGAGAATTTAATGGACGGAACGGTTTCGGTGACGGCTGGACCGGCGGAGGTGTAACTATAGCTGATGAATGCCTCGGTCCAGATATCAAGGGTGGAGGGCTGGGAGCCCAGGGTGACGGGGGTCTGTAATGCAAAGGGGAAGGAGGCCCTGGAGGTCGAGCGCGACCTCGGCCTGGTGGCTGCGACATCGTGAGGATTGATTCCTGTCAACCCGGTGTGTCACGCCTTAATTTGCATATCTGAAACAATAAGACATCACACAGTTAAAACTTGGTGTTTTATCCCTACTAATATTATAAATCTGAAAGTAATTCTGTCTGTCTGTCTGTTACGCTTTCACGCCTAAACCACTGAACTCATTTTAATGAAATTTGGTACAGACATAGAGTTGACCTTGAGAAAGAATATAGGATAGTTTTTATCCCAGACTTTTGAAAGGTTCTCTTGGAGACGCGACATAACCGAACTCCACGCGAGCGAAGCTGCGGGCGGAAAGCTAATATGTAAATAAAACGATATTATTGTTATCGTATTTAAGATCCCCATTGACTATTTCCACGTCAAATGCTAAAAAGAATCCACATTTTATCCAGTATTGTTATGGCATAACGAAATAAAAAACGTGGCTAATGTTTCGGAATTTCTAATTTACTGTATTCACGTGCACGCGATTAAATAAAAGCCAAAAGCCATAGTAAATTCTTGTGATTGCGTGTTTACCGCATTCTATTTTTGGGAAACCCTATCGGAAGGGTTACAGAGGTAGTGTGGCGGGAATACAAGAAACAGATGGCCGCATTTATGAGCTTCAAATTGGTTATTAAGTGCACCTTTGTAGATAAGAAAATATTTAACGATTACACCAAAACATCCAAAGTTTTACTTCACTTAACCCTAAACGAAAAGAATGCAGACAAAAATAAACATATTGATTTGAAAGAAAATATGATATTATATCTTCAAACGTAAAAATTTTATAGGAATTTGAAATATATATTCTTGATGGTTTCTTATTAACATAAAAGTTTGAAATTTCGTGAATGTTTTTCTAAATTTTTGCAAGCCATTGCATCGATATTTTGAAAGACATAACGTTTAATAAATAACATTGGCTGGACGCCAGATGCTCGCTACATCACTGGTGCTATGTCATATTCTAGAATCTAGATTAAAAAATGTCTTTCATTATACGATAGTTAAGTATTGGGTAGTAATTGACATATTGTATAAGAAATGAATAGAAATTTTTGTAAGAGAATGACCACAGGTACATTAATAAGGACTATGATTTTCAAGGACGAAAATATTTAACAATTCCGATAATAGTGTCTGCAATGACAGATTTGTATTTCGTAATAAATTCTGATATACAATATGCGTTAGATAGTGGTCCCTTAAACCTACAGCTGGGTCGCAAGTCCCAGGCACTGTTGAAACTTATCTCTCTACAACGACGGACCCGACACCCGCACGATGAATACATTGAATGATAAGAGGTTTAGATCTCATTATGATAAGAGGTTTCGTCTATTTTAAAAAAATATATCATAGCTTCAAAATTTATTATCAATTCTCAGACTACTTTTAGGAAATATGTATTTTATCATACATAGACATATGTGTGTCTATGTGTATATGATTGTGTTGGTTACATAAAAGGATTGTAATGGCCGAACTTATGTCAATTAAACTTTACAGTCAGATAAACTATGATCTGAAAGACCCATACGTGTAAATGTAAAACTTGAAATATATTTATTTGTATTACGAACTAGTATTCTCGATTGGAAAATTTCAAAAACTTTCAGGAACATTATTTAAACAATCTAATACTAATAAAACCTTGATATAATCCAAGTTGATACAGTGACGTAACAATAGTCAATGACCTTTAAAGGCTGCGGTGAAGCGGCGACACGAGCGGTCACAAGTTCCGTACAAAAAATTACGTCGCGGGAACCACACGAGGTGTTCCTGGCTTCACTCCAGACAATCACGGCTAACCCGACATTACAGAGATGGTATTCTGACTATTTTTATATAAACTATCTATAAAGACAACGAAAATTATCTACTTCTTGTCTGTCTGTCTTGAAAAGAAACCGAAACGTCGGGAGTATGTAGTTTTTACAATAATAAAACACGCGTGTTAATCCAAAAAATATTAGTTTCATTTAAATGAAAATTATACATATATATCATTTCTAACATATAAACTCATTGATTTATTTAGTTATTATATACATAATTTACATATATATAAAGAAAAGATAAATAAAATCACAGCATTTTAATTTCTTTCATTAACTTTCCTTTGTTCCGGATCATTATTTGCAAAAAGATGAAAAAAGATATAGCATTAATATTGGATTTTACGTCCATCTATTTACATATGATCAAAGCTTTAAAATTTAATATGTTTTGAAGGCTTTAAATCTATAAGACTATTGATATCTTAGTGTTAACGTAATCACGTAGGCGTATATCGTGGGTGTACACAAACAAAGAATGTAAAATTGAGAAGAATGGGATCGTTATATGAAAAAAAACATTAGCTACATCTCGAAAAGATTGATTCTATTACAATGTATAAAACTTGAACAATTGATTTAAATTTAAGAGACGATATCTCTCATCATTCAAAGTATTCACCGTGCGGGTGTTGAGTCCATCGTTGTAGAGAGAGGAGCTTCAACAGTGAATGGGACTTGCGACCCAAGTGTAGGTTTAAGGCGATATATTAAACTAGTTGTATTTACAGTACTATATACGATAAAACATTTAAAATGAGATCTTATTTATGTAAAACAAAAAGCTGGTACAATACAGGACAGTTAAATTATATTATAAATCACATTTATATAGTTTAATTGCGTCCATATTTAAAGAATTGATTACTTCGAAGTACCTAGTACATTTTTTAGCTTTTCAAGGAAATTAGTCGCGTGCAAGCTTGCTATACTTGTTAAGTCTTCAATAATGAGCCGTTTCATTTATATAAAACACACAATCAGTAAAAGTGGAACATTCAACATAAGAATATTAAAAGCTCTCAAAAGGTAATAAATATCTCTTTTCCATAAAATTCTTCATTACTCATTTTTATAATAGCCGAAGTTCACATACCGTCTAGAATTAGCATTTCTCGAAAGATAGCCTAATTAAGACTCATTCACTCATTTTTTTCAAATCTGATGAGTACATTTCATATCTGTAAGTTAAAACAAATACACAAAACAATTTTTTATCGTAAGTATTAATTAAGGAGAAATTTTAAGTTTAATAACCTACGATACAGTCATGTTAAAATATATCTTAATTACAAGTAATGAGACGATGCAAGGTTCTTTAAGTTCCTGACTATGTTTATTGGGCTAGCTATTGTGGTCTAGGAATTAAATTAAGTTTTATTTATTTTGTTGTATGTACCAAAGGAGATCGAAAGTATTTCATACAATTCTGGGCCCTAAATGTAAAGACATGAAAAAAGTATCAATTAAAGGTTTAAAATTAAGAGTTTCTTCATTGAAAATTCTATAGAAATTGACAATCAGATAGCTGAGTTATTGGAGATTTAGTAAGTGAGGTTATATTGCATTATCTTTAAAAGTTAGATGAATGCACGTTAAAGTATGTGAAAAATAATAATTTTATTTAGAAGAGAATATCTGATAAGTCATACCAAGGCAATAAAGACTCAAAGACATACAAATGTAGGTAACAAGTATGGAATTCTACGAGGAACAGGAGGAGTGAACTATGTGATAAGTCATAAAATAAAAGAAATAATTTTAATAGAATATTTTATTCCTCTTCAATAAAAATTAAAACATCGTATAGGAACTGTGCAAGGGGTACAATATTGTAAACTATTCCAAGTCAAACGTGCAGGCGATCGTCGGTGTCCAATGTGAAAGCAAGGGTCGTAAAACGTAGCCGGGTTCGGAGTCCATAAAAAACAAAGCAGTGGTCGTTGAAAACGTAAAATGATCGGAAAAGCACTCGAAACGTATCAAAAAACACGAAACAAGTTAGACTCAGATAACAATGCATCTGGCATGGTAATTGTTAAGCGTCAATGTCATGTTGCCATAGACTATATACTGAATGATTTCGATCGAATCAAATCGGATGGAATCGATATAAATCGAAAAGGATGTTTTATAATAATATTTAATATAATTATTATATTAAAACACGTTATTAAGAGTTATTTTTATTGAATTGTAGACATATATGGTGTAGTTTAAATTGTTACTTTAAGTTTAAAAGTAGGAGTGAATTTTTTATTTTGTAGTTAAATAATCGAATAATCAGTTTTATTAAATAATCGTTAATCGATTACTTCATAAAAACAGTTATTTGCATATTTCTGCGCTTGTACATTGAGAATTTATGCAGATGTTTGGTATTTCATACAAAAAAAAATAAAACTAATGTTTTAAATCAATTTTGAACTCATTACATTTTGGGCCCAACAATTTCAATCTCCTTTAAAACGCCATATCGTTCTTCTATTTTTAATTAACAGGAATACAATGTTGCCATATACAAAAAAAACAATTTAAAAATGTTTTCTTAAACTCTGCATACAAGATAGAACAATTATTTTATTTAAAACAATAACGCTTATTAAACCCTCACTCACGATAAAATCTTCATCTTATTATTATATACAATAATAATAGTAGAATATAAACAAGAGAACGTTAAAAAATCGTAGATTTTTCAGCCTTGTAACAGTCTGGACTATTATTAGTTACAGTTGCTGCAGCGACTCAATGAAACAATCGACAAATTTAGACTGAAAAATCACTTCAGTCATAGCAGGCATCATCTATAACTAGATCATCTATCCTAGAGTTTGCGAGCATTCTGTTTACGAGCATGAGAAAAACAGTGATGTTTTGTTGCAGCCTCCCTCGCTTTATGAAGCCTTGGACTAATTTATTTATATACAAGCGTGATAATTTATATGATGTCGAAATATAAGACGCGCCTGACCAAACTGTTTGACGTGAACTAACTTTTGTTTTGTTCTAGAAATTTTCTTAATATAATAAGATCATGAAGTTTTGTTTATAAAAAATATCACGACGGTTTTAAATGCTGTGTTTTTTTTATTTAAAATGTCATCACTAAATTTATTTGTCGTGTATAAAATATAATGTAATGCTGTCAATGTCAT